GTCAGTCTCAATTAAATGTTTTCTTTTTAAGAGTTGCCATGGTCATGGTGTCTCTTCCCAAAACAATAGAAACCTTAATTAAAATGGAGCTATCATTAATTATCAATAAAACGTCTATTTCATGATCAAAAAGGCTGACATAGATTCAATGAAAAGAATTTTTCGACAGGTGTGGTAATGTGTACTTGACATCCCAGCATTTGGGAGGCTGAAACAGGAGGATTGAGAGTCCAGGCCAGACTCATCTACAATGATTGAACCTGCCTCAAAAAAAAAGTATAATCAAATAATAAATTAATATTCACATCTACTCATATTGTACAAGTAGATTACAGATGCTCTTTAATTATAGATGCTCTGTCCTTTCCAAGAATGTTATACGCCACAAGCATTTGTCAGCTAAAGTTTTGTGAATCTAAAATGTATGTGATTCCCCTGACTCTACCAGTTGCCCATCCTTCTGATCTGCTGGAAACTAGGAGCTGTGAAGCTTCACAAAAATTGTCTTACCCTGTATCACCAGCCCTGAGAAAAGATCAAAATTCAAAGTTCACAGTGTGGTTTATACTCAGTGCACACTGGTTACCCCCTCATGAAGTCAAAAGTCCCTGTGTTGAAACACTGTCAACAGGGACCATCCGCGTTTATCATAGAGCGTAAGTGACATTGTCCCTTTTCTTTCTTAACATTAAAGGATAGCCTTTTGTATCCGCATAGTCTAATGATGATCTAACCACGTATTGAAATGGTGCGTGCATGCGTAGCATAAGTGTTTATGTCCTAGTTGGTTTTAATTCTCAATTTGACATAGTCTAGGGTCATCTGAGAGGAAAATGTCTGTTGAGGAATTGCCTAGAGCAGATTGTCCTGTGGGCATGTCCAAGGGAATTTTCATAGCTGTTCATTGGTGTTGAATGGCCCAGCCTGCTGTGGGCAGCACCATTCCTTGGGCAGATGGTCCTGGACTCTGTAAGAGAGCGAGCTAAACGTGAGTCTGTAGAAATCTGCAAGCCGCACTCCTTCATGGTTTCGGCTTCAGCTTCCTGCTTTGTTCCTACCCTGACTTCCCTCAGTGACACACTAACCTTGAGTTATAAGTCAGCTAGTTCCCTTTCTCCCTAAGTGGCTTTTGGTCTGAGGGTTTTTAATCACAGCAACAGAATAAAACTAGAAGGTTGTACTTTGACTTCCCTCTGCCAAACGCTCCAGCTCTGAGGCTCTCCACGTGGAGCTGCCATTTTTGTTATCAGGGCTACTGTGGGTTAGAGCTCTTCAGTCAGAGCAGTGCGCGTGCGTTAACTCGTGAATTGCCAAGACTACAAGCCAAGCCAGTGGCAGCGAGAGCAAAGGCGTAGTTGAGAAAACTCCTTTGAAGTCATCGGGTTCGCACCTTCTGCAGAGGCTCTGGTTATCCTATTCTACGTGTTTGATTTAAAAACACGCGGCCGTCATATGCAGTCCCTAGCCTTCACTTCCGAGATTCAAGGGCACTCACTCTGGGTTTTTCTGTAGGTTCTGAAGAGCAGCCACAGTGTATGCCAGAGGCCTGACGGGCTATCTGCTCACCTCTGACTTGCAGCATTCACATTTTATGATCAGCCGTAGGTCAAGCCATTAAACTCTACTTTGGGTCAAATTAGGACACTTATCTTTTTAATGGCTTTGTTTCATGGTCTTGACTTCTACAGGCTAGATTCCGGGGAGTTAAGAAACGTCCTTCCTACATTCTAAATCAAACTGAAACTTTATGTATTCGCACATTTTAACATCAGAGTGGACAGAAACTATATTCATGACTAATAAATTATAAAACGTCAGAATGTGTTTGCCACCCCTATACACACAAATGGCCACGAGTTCTTCAGATTTGTGAGGACAAGCCTCACCTTGTCTTCAAGGAGACCAAGGAACCTAGTTGTTTGAGGACCACCTTTCATGAACTCCCTCACTGGGTGTTCCACATCATCACGCATGATGTTAGTTCTAAGCACACCATAATAAGCTAGGGACAAAAATTCTGTAAAAAAAATTGCGCATAGTTTTCAAGTCTTCTCTTCCTAAATCTTGCTGCCTCTGGAACATTAGTGGAAAATTCTCCTATCGATCTGTTATGTTTAAATTTGTCAACTTTTTAAAGATTAATATTTTATTTATCCATTTTTGAGAGAAAGTACTCTTATATAGCCTAGTGACCTCAAGCACTCCATACCCCTGTCTCATCCCCCAGAGTTCTGGCCTTCCAGGCATGTTCCAATACAATACACTGTTTACCCAGTCTTTAGGTTGCCCTTCAGTGTATTTGGAGCTTCCTAAATAAACATACATATGTCTCAGTGAGTAACTCAGACAGCTGTATGGATTTCTATCACTCCTGTGAGAGTTTGCATTCTTAATTTCTAACATGGACAACTGCATGGAGGTACTGAGAGGGAGGAAAAGCCTACTGGTGATCTATCTACATTTCAAATACCATGGTCCTTTTGTAGACCACTCTCAGTCTTCCCATATGGTTCCCTGGCTGAAATGATGTCTTTGTGCTTTGAGATTAATTAGAAGACACACTACATTTCCTGTGATGAGAAATATCGATGTTACCTTTTTCAGACAGTGAATTGGATTTCAGTATAGAATTTAAGGAATGAGAAAATGAAACCCAATTGATAACGCGATAACTGCATATAAATCTGCATATAATAAAATATTATTAAATAGGAATAACAAATTATACAGCTAACAGAAAGAGAAACGATTCAGCTATTGAGATTCGATATGACTCCTTGCCATTTTAATCTCAATAAATATTTGCAAATTTAATCTCAGCAAATTTTTCTTCTTCATTTTGAACATTTGTGTTATTGAAAACTTTGCTCGTGGCCCTGTCTTTTGAAAACCTGAATGATTCCAAAATGATGCTGTTGTCACATCAGCATAAATTATGCCTTGTCGGAGTCCAACTTTAATTATTTTCTATAATATCTTATCAACTTTTTGAGTGAAATTTTAAAAATGAAGCTACACACACACACACACACACACACACACACACAGAGGGAGAGAGAGAGAAAGAGAGAGAAAGGGAGGTCTTGCTAATCTTTAGCGTATACGTTTTAAATGTAGCTGTGATATCCTATGCAATTGTCTTTTTATGTATGATAGTTTCGTCTTCAATGACAAACCTCAAGTGCCTTAAAACCCGTGTTAAAAATACAACCTATTGCAGTTTAATGCAAATTGTGTTTTATGCTTAAACAGAGCTATTTAGGGAACAGTCTATTTCAGCCCGGGAAAGATTTATGCCATAGCTCACGAGTGTTGCCTGTCTCATACGGAATGGCTGCATGCTGAGGTGTGGCATATTCTGGTAAGTCCACGTCCCAGCCCAGACTCAATAGCTCTGTCTCAGGTAGCAGTCCCTCTTGGGAAAAATGATACTCCAACTCTGTCTTCCTCTTGGGATAAGGAGAAAGACATTGATCTCTGGATGGTCTGGGGTGCGTGGCTTACAGATTCAGATTCACAGAGTAGAAAAAGCATTCTGACATCTTGTGGAAGCCACGGACAGAGGCTACACCATCTACTGGTATGGCTAGAATAACCACAGACTTCTTTAAGGTTTTTGAGTGGTATCAGCTAGAAGGCTCTTCTGGGAATTAGCATGGGGAGCATCTGTCTCGGTGCCTATGATGAGCACATACAGCACTTCCTTTAATCGTGCATACTCTTTCTAAGAGCTTTGTGTCTAGAGTAGGGGACCAGCCCCTGTGCCCATATGCGCGAACCCGGGGAGGAGGCAGATCCATGTTGCCACTGCTGTTGACCTTCACTTCCGTCATTGCCTTGTTATTGTTTGTGTATTTGTGTGTGTGGAGTCCTAAGGGATGAGGCAGCACAGCTGGCCCAGTCTGGGTGGCTCTGCAGGTGGGAGATCAGTGGGTACGCTTATTTAGTGCAGGGGAGCTCAAGGGTGATATGGCCCTACTAGACCGTATCACACAAGACTGTGTGACTCCGAATTAACTGGCGCTCCCACCATCTACGCTTCCATCCTGTGTGACAGGATGTGTTCCTGTCAAGTTCCAGAACACAAACAAAAGTCCAGGATGACAGGAAGGCTCCCCATTGTCACCAGAGAAGCCTTCTCTGCTTTCATGGAGCCCTGGAAGGATGGAGGCCAGAATTTATAGACAGCTCTGGGCTGTAAAGCCAGAGTCCTAATTAAATTAACACAGATGCCATCATCCATGTTGCACACGCTCTACTGTCAGAAGGCAACCGTTTAATAAAACTCGGATCTTTTTGGTGAAAAAAAATTGCCCATTTTATTTGATGAAATACCATTCTTGTATATTTTCACTTTTCAGAATGATATGACTGTTAAATAATACTTAGAGTTAGTTATTCTGATATTTTGGTTTGTATTCCATAGTATATGATAGATTTCTATTGCAATCTGTGAGCAACCTAAATGAAGGGAAGGACCAGGTTACATTTTATGTCTGTAAATATTGGTCCTACTTATCCAAGATTGGACTACCCCCAAGCTCCTTGTTGCTGGAGGTGAGGAGCAGTGGAATAGGAGAATGAATGCGTGCTTGTATGTCTTTTCCTAGAGAGCAGGAATTCCCAGATTTCCAGACTTGAAGTTTCCTCAGAATGCCAGAAAGACGATAAGAGAGTGTCACTCCAGGCTTTTCCTGCAGCAGGAAATGGTCACTTGGTTTCATTCGTATTCAAATTGGGGTGCTTGATGCTAAATGTGGAACTGATATATTTTTTTAATCTAAGAAAAACCCAAATCTCTTGCATGATGGAAATGAATCAAGGTGCTATTAAAGCTTATCTTACAACTTAGAATTAATTCCCTTTGATCAAACAGCTAGGAGCGTGTAAACCTGTGCTTGTCTCTACAGGAAGTGATGAGAAGCAAAGCTCCCACTAGGGATGCTAGAAGTGTTGTTGACATTCCCTGATCCCCAGCATCTGTCTTTGTGTCCTTCTAGCTGTGGGTCTGGCTGCGTGCCAGGAACCTGTTCTCCCGAGCAATGGCATCAAGATAGGAGACCGGTACATGGTGAACGATGTGCTCTCCTTTCAGTGCGAGCCCGGGTACACCTTGCAGGTAGGCACCCTTGGGGCCGTGAGGGAGGCTCAGCATGCTCACCTCTGGTGTTCCTACTCCGTGGGCATGCTCCAGGTCATGTCCGTGCAGCCAGTGTGTTTCCCGTGCTCTGTGACTGAGCTACCAATGCAGATGATAAATCCATCATCAGAGTCATGCTATAAACGCTGAAGTCCCTCTGCAGACCTCACCACTGGATTTCTCACAATTATTTTATTTCAAAATTATGTGTTCTTCCCATACTCGTGCAGAGAAAAACTAAGGAACCAGATAGTATCAGAGTATCTATAAACCCCCGCCTGGCTCCCAGTGATGGGATCAGCACATTTGCGTTTCCCATGATTCCATTCAGTATATTACCACCTTGGGTATTCCCCAACAAAGAACCATTCTGTGATTTTCAAGAAATTCTATAGACAAGTTTTGCTATAAATTTTTACAGCTTTTTTTAAAAACAAAATCATGTAGACATTTCCATAGACACATTATAAATGGGCAAACGGCAAGATGAATGTTTTTTCTATTGTAATGAAATAGACAATAGGCTCATAACCACTCATGTTTGAACTCGTCATACAATTCATATCACAAAGTAATTTCTCACATGTTTATTATGACGTTGAATTTGACGTCTTCTTAAAGGCACGTCTCTAAGATAAGCTCTGTGCCCAACTTCATTAGACAGATTCAGAATCAAGGAAAAGGTGTGATAATCTGCAACGAAACAGTGTCACTGTGTACAGGCAATCTCTCTGCATATGTTGGGCAAACGGTTATACCAGGTACCAGTGGACAACACCTAGCAAAGGCTAGTTCAGGATTAAGACGTCCCATTTGTCCCCACAAACCACGTGACATGGGCTATGAGCTCTATGATTGGAGGCAAGGTCTATTAAATCCTCTGCATGTTTCAGTACATGGATTATGTAGCTGTTGGCAGCATGAAGAAATGTTGTTATATAAGCGAATGACATGCAGTCAGTTCATGAAAGCCAGACTGTAGCTCACAGTCCTTGGATCTTGCCTGGTGCAGCATGAACCGTATGGACTCTGCATGCCATGGGTTGTAGACATTGAGCTTTCCTCCCAGAGTTCTGGAGCTCTGCGTCTGAACCAGGTGGTTAGCCAGGGATGGGGAGACTAATCAGGATGGTTCTTTGAGACAAGCATTGTACTTATGCTTGTTACAATAGAAAGAATTCTGGGCCCTGTGTCATGACTTCCGCATGCAGAGGCACCTGGGTCTACTTCCACATGTTTTTCGTGTGGTCTTTTTTTCCCTTGACTTTTGTTATAACTGACTAGAGCTACATAAATGCAGTCTACTTTCCTCCCGTGAGATCAGCATTCAGTCCCGTGTCCGTTTCTGACGCCCATGTTCTTTTGTGTTGAAAGATGTGATCTTGCAGCCTCTGTCAGCTTCCTCTTTCAAGTGATAGCTTAAGACCTTGGAGAGCAAATCCTCTTTCAAACAGGGATTTTCTGTAACAGAGGACTGATAATCCTCCTAGACAAGCAAGCCTGTGAACACACATCAGATTGCTTCTTAGCCTTGTTCATCACATCGAAGCCAAGCCATTGTCTTTATTGGGAATAGCACTGAGCCCAGAGTTCCGGGGCGGAGATATTTGCTAACATCTTGTAGATATTCATTAATAGTCACAAGAACAGAAGTGGATGCTGAGCTGCGTTTATTGCTAACACACCTTGGTTAGCGCACTATTACACGTTGATCACACGCTGTCCAGCAGAGCACCGCTCCTAAGGCAGATCTCGCAGAGACATCTACGCCAGACACAGAGTGAGACCGGTAGACATTCGCAGAGGTGCTGCCAATAAATCCCGAATATCCAAGTGACCTCTGAGACCCACCCAACGTAGCTGTGTTTTCATGCCCTCTTTAAAGCATAAAAATCCAAAAATTACTCTTTGGGTAAAATCTTGATGATAAAAATCTCCAGGATCCGATTTTGTATTTGATCTATTACACAAATTTTGTTTGAAATCACTCATCCAAGATGTTTATGGTCCTGTCCATAGCAGAATCTGCCCTAGATTTGAAATAAATGACCGTTTTACTGCCAGTCTTCATAAATATCTTTAAAGGCTTTTGCACTTTATGCTTAACCATAATTCAGGAAGAAATTTATTAAATGTAATTTAATGGGTCACAGGATACATAAACACGTTCACTTTAGCATCCTTCTGTCTTGTTGAAAAACACGGACTCTCATCTGGATGTGTCGGTGCATGCTTTCAGGCCTGACACTTTGGGGGACCAAAGCAGAGGAATTGTGAATTTGAGGCCAGGAGGTAATGAAACAAAACCTTGACTCAAAACCAAACATTGTGCTAAAGACAATGGCTTGGCACACACTTGACAAACAAAGCTAAGAAACAAACACATTCTTCCTTTAGAACTATTTTTAAAGTGCCAGGAAGAAGGAAAATTAAAATCAGTTTTGTAGCAAAATAATTAGCTTTGGGAGTCAACCACCTACCTTTATTGGCCCTAAATGTGAATGTAAGCCTCTCGGGTTCTCAGTGTGTACAGTTTTGACCTCCGTGCCACCTATAGGTGGTAGAAGAAATGTCTGAGATGAGAAGACATGGCAGAGATGGTCACTAAGTCACAGGAAAGAACAGTAAAAACAGAACGCCTCTGAAGGGGCTAGCTAGGGCAGGAGTTCTCAATCTGTGGGTCTCGACACCTTTGGGGTCAAACAATCTTTTCACAGGGGTCACCAAAGGCCATCTTGATTCATAAGAGTAGAAAGTTGCAGTTATGAAGTAGCAACAAAAATAATTTTATGGTTCAGAGTCGCCACACCATGAGAAACTGTATTAAACGGCCCCGGCATTGGCAAGATTGAGAACCACTGGTCTGGAGCCTTCTGTTAGGGTCCCTCTAGAGCCTTCTGTTTAGAGAGAGTTCAGCCCAGGTGTCCTCACCAGTCTCTCCACTGCTGGTTGGTCTTTAGAAGAGGAAGTTCAAGTTTTGAAAGTGAAAGGTGAGTATTATTCATTTCACTACAGAGAGGGGGCAGCCATGAGCTGCTTCCCAGTAGATCAGGCGGGGTCTACTGATCGGCTTGTCCCTGTAAAGGTTGGACTGACAGTGAAGTGAAAGTGTGCAGCTTGTGCAAAGTCAGGAAAGTTACCCCAAAATGGGCCGGCAGTAAATTCTAGTACATCATACTGTGACCCCATACTGGTTGTCATCAGTCCCTCTCGCCCCTCAAGCCAAATGCTGTGATGATGCTCTTGCTGGGGAAATAAGACAGTCTTTGCCCAGCTCTGATTGTCCTCCTTGGGCATGATGAAAAGTCAACAGAAATGTCACCTGTTTAGACAGTCAAGATTGTGTTAGTGAAAAGGATCACATCTGTGTTAATTGATTGACTGATTGATCTTTCCAAATGGGACTCATGAACAATGGTCAGATTCACAATTTTTAAATGTCTGGAGAAAAGTCCCCATGTGGTTCATCCCTAAATACTGTGCTGCAGTTAACAAGCAAGTTTGGTGGTTTTCTTCTCAACAGGGCCGCTCACACATTTCCTGCATGCCAGGAACTGTACGTCGTTGGAATTATCCCTCCCCCTTGTGTATTGGTAAGTACATCTTGCATAGCCTTGCTGAGTGACCCTTATTCAGACAGCTAGCTTCCACCTATGCCCTTCCGTGTCCCTCTCAAAGCACAGAGAGGGCAGTCACCTAGGGTAGAGTCACAGGAATGCAATGAGCACCTCCCTGTGGAATTCAGAAGTTCAGCCTTTTGGGGACTTTGGATCAGGCTACACAGGGAAGCTCTGAGTCTCCAGGCTCAAGGTGTCAAACAGTTCAAATCCATGCCAAAATCCCCATTTATTAATCTATGAAGGAAGTTGGTAACAACTCTGACAGGCTGAGTGGTTTTTCTGAACAAGCTGCTAGCCTCCGGAAAAGCTTGTTTGCGGAAGCAAAGCTCAGAATTACAAGCAAGCCACTGACTCTCTAGAAACTGACGTGTTTGTATTCCACATTGAAAAGCCCAGTGACGGCTGTGTGGAGATGCCCTTATCAGCGCTGGACAACCCACTGCCTGTTGAGTGGGAAGAACCTATGCCTGAGGCCCAAAATATCCCAGTGCAAGTCACAAGGCATCGAGCCCCTGACCAGAGCCATAGGATCAGCTTCCCCAGAGTTTGGGGGTGACATCACCACCCTGCAGACACCAGCAGTGTCTGTCTGCTTTTCCTGGCCTCAGCCCAGAGACTGTGCTCACTGTCCCAATGAGCCCTACCTCCTCTGGTCCCCTGGACATCTGACACAACAGAGCCTGTGGTCAGCAGCAAATGCAGCAGCCCTGAGCTGGTCATCATATAAAGTTCTCTTAAGTTGTTTATCATGCAGTTTTTAAACATGACTTTTGATATTTTTTTTTTCCATCCATCAGTCAGATAGCATGGAGGGGGAGCGGGCGCTCTTGAGTTTGGGGTCAGCCTTTAGCATTGCCTTTCAGGGTCTTACCTCAGTCTCTGCTCCTTCTGTCTGAGCTAACTAGCTGTATATGAGATTTGGGTACCATTTTATCATCACTTACACTATCCTCTCGCAACCCAGAGGACTTTGACAACAGGCACGCCTGGCCTGGCTCATCTCCCAGTTTATCAGACTGGCACTCCTGTGTCTGTATCAGTGGCTATCTAAGAACCAGGCTGGCTGTGGTGGATTCTCTCCAGCACTTTCTGAGTCTGTGGGGTCCTCCCACCCTGGGCTATCAGACTGGCACCCCAGTGGCTGTATCAGTGGCTATCTAAGAACCAGGCTGGCTGTGGCGGATTCTCTCTGACACTTCCCGAGTCTGTAGGGTCCTCCCACCCTGGGCTCAGCTGTTGTCACATTCAGATCTCTGCTGTCCACATCCTACTCAAACAGCCCCTCTTGTCTGGGACTGATTTAAGAGAAAGCATCATCTGTTTCCACAAATCAAGCAACTTACAAACCTGTGACATATTATCTTCTGGGCTGGCCTCAGTTTCAGGATTGACTCTGTTAGCCATGATCGTATAGTGTGAGGTCCACGATATCAACAAGGTGATAACTGTCGGGTGCTTCACGGGCATCCAGGTTCCCCTGCTTCCCAAACAAATCTTAGCTATGCAGTGATTTTGAAGAATACACAGTTTAACTGGCTTGAGTGTGACTGTGTACAGAGGATGAGGTATGACCCCAAACATGGTGAGCAAACAGAACTCCACACTCTAGAGGGGCCTTGTTCAGGAAACAATTACCATCTGTATTCACCATCAGATTCTCTTCCAAGGGAGCATTCTTCCTCAGAGTTGTGACACATGAGCATAAATTTCTCTATTAACATACCTTCTATACAAAATGCTCCTTGTGTAACTCAGAGGTTTGTATCCCAGCCTTGGTCTGGAGGAAGAGTCCGGAGGATGTCAAGTAGGCTGCAGGTTCTTCACACGGACCACCCATCTTCCTGTGAACTCCCATTTCCCAAACGTAGCGATTTCTGTTCTCTCGACTCTTGACTCCCAGCCTGCATATTCACCTAGGGGCCGTTGTGTTTGCTCGGTGTTTTATAAAAAAAAAGAAAGGGGGGGTTTATTTGAATTTGAATGACTAACTTACATTAGCAAGACATATGACTTTTACGTGTCCTCTAATGAGTTTTTTTATATTAGCAAATACTGATGTTACATCCACTTCTACAATTTTTGACAAGGCACACAGAGAGATCCCCTGTGGTCAAAACTCACACCTGACTGTGATGAGCCTTGGAGACGGACATAAGAAATCAAAGCATTTTGTAGCTGGCAGCTCCAGATTTATCTGAGCTGACGGAATTAGGAGCAGGAGTTGTCTGTCGAGAGATCCTATTTTGCTCACTGGCTTCCTAGAAGCCTCATGTCCTAATTCCTTATAATCGCAGAACTAATGGAGTCAAGGTACATAAGCCACTTTCCCACTGAGGACCGGGCTCTGTTCTCAGAGCCTAACTAATACTGGCTGTTTTTAATATCTCATCAAGCCCTGGAGGGACCAGGCGGCTTGCCAGGGGCCCCAGCAGAGTTAGAGTTCATACTGGGGCTGGAAACTTCTGGAACTGTAGGGTTTTCAACAGCCTGTGACCTGTGTCGTGGAATAAAAAATGCATCTGTTGGTTCCAGAACATGAAAAACCTGCACAAAATAAAATATATAAATCTAGGAAAGTGCGAAGTCCTTGATCTTCCATAGCAAGGGTCACCTGCCCTACTGAAATCAGCGTTGGCTGGTAGGTCTCCACACAGGCTACTGACTGAGGAGGAGCTGGCATGAGCGAGTTATGAGCAGGAGAGGGTCGGGGCAAAGGGAGTCAAAGAAATGTTAAGAAGTACCTTCTTAGCTTGTGGCTGGAGAGATGGCTCAGTGACTAAGAGCACTGGCTGCTCATCCAGAAGACCCGAGTTCAGTTCTGAGCACCAAAACAGTGGCTGCAACTCCAGCTTCAAAAGGTCTAGCACCCTCTGGCCTCTGCTGTGCATATCAGCTACATACATGTTACATAGATGTAAATACTGACAAAATACCCATATGCATAAAACATTTTTAAAACACAGCATGCTGGCATAGGGGCTCTCTTGATATCCCAAAGCATGGTAGATGGGGGCGGGGTCACACCTTTAGGGAGTTCCAGTTTGAAGCTCCTCGACTTGTTCTTTTTGTATGTACAAGGCTGACCTGTGCTGGTAGCTCTCATATCACCCGGAAGTCATCCTGTGCCTAGTATCCAGACACACATGGGATCCAGCACACTGTCCCTGCCCTGTGTTGTCTAACACCGAGGATGGCACCTGTCACTCCAGCTTGGTGCCTACTCCTGCTCAGGATGACTATGCCAATTCCTCCTCTGAAGGGATGGAGATTCCATTAATAGACGTCCATATTTCATGACACTGGATTTTTTTTTTTAGTTATACTCTAAATTGAAAACTCCTTCTTAGAGCGCTTGCCATCATTGGACACTCATCTTCCTGTCTTTGTGGCCATTTTCCCTTTGTCCACCCTGTGGGTGGACAACATCTCCATCCTCCATTCAGCTAAAGGATCCTATGTGGAGAGGTACTTTGGTGTAGCCCCCATACTGGCGTGTCCTCAGCCCAGTGCAGGCCCAGACAGCAGACCCAGGCAGCCTACACTTTGAACATGATTCTCATCCACTGACAGCTCCCCGCTGGGCTGCTCTCTAAGTTACAGCCATGCTGATTTCATCTGAGCAGGCGTCTAGAATCATAACTCATCACAGAGGAGCCTTAAGAATATTTAAGTTCTTAAGGTTATTTCGTGTATATGCAGAATGTTTAAACCCAGGTCACAGAGTGGCTGTCTTGAGCAACTAGCCACAGTCACCGGGGCTGGCTTTCACATATTTCCTCCCATGAAATTTGCCCTTGTTGGTTATCTAACCTTGATGATTGAAAATAGTTTGAAAATTAAAAGGCCCTACAGTGCCTGCTTGGGGCTTTCTGGCAGAGGCTTCTGAAAACATGAACTGAGTGCTTATAATAAGAGAATTTTTTTTACACTGTCCTCTAGAAAAGACATGATGAAACCATTTGCCTCATTAGTCGAAAAGACATGAAATTGTCTTTTTAGCCCATCACAAATGGTCAACCCCTAGGGCTCCTGGTGAACCAGCCTTGTGGCTAATGTAAACAGATGTTCACATTGTCATAAAATCAGCCGTGGCTCTTTGCTGGCAGACGTCAGACACGGTAGCACAGTGTGTGCATAATTAAAACACAGGGACTTTCTATCTTTGCAACATGGAATTGTCTGAGATTGAGTGGTTGCAGGGAGCTACATTCTCCAAAGCAAGGGACTCGGAGGCCGGGGCTACTAAGGACTCTGGGACCCTAGAACCAGGCAGAGCTGAAGCATCCTGGAGAAGAAGGAGGTTTTCCCAGTTGTGAACCTTCAAGCCAGTCTCTTATTCTATTGACATGTTCCATCTGTCATGGGGGATGGTCGTCTGTATTCCAGTCTCTATGACTGCTGTGGGCCTTCAGGGATGTTACTCATTTGTTTCCACACAGCAGGAGCCCAAGTGAACAGTCAGTGCTAGATAGCAATACTACCACAAACAAGAGCTGAAAAGCCAAAGTCAACCTGATGCCTTTTTGAAATGCCCTGTTGAACCAGCTGACCTTTGCAAAGAGCCTGTAGTGTCAGAAGGCACATGGAGAAGAATCTTTAGTCCCAAGTATCCCACAGAGAGGAGGGAAGCTGGGCCCCGGTGTGGTGCAATAAGCTGTGTTAGATTAGGTATCCTTGCTGAACGCAAAAACGCTAGGAGACTACTGTTATCTTCTGTTTAACAGCCACCTGTGGAGGGACGCTGACCAGCATGAGTGGAGTCATCCTGAGCCCGGGGTTCCCAGGCTCGTACCCCAACAACTTGGACTGCACCTGGAAAATATCGCTGCCCATTGGCTACGGTGAGTGAGCCAGTAATCGTTCCACCCGGCAGAGTCTCCCCAAGGGACTGATGCGTAATGATCCATTGACTAAACTATGTCTTTAATTGACAGGAGAGAACAGATTTAAGTAGAGCCTTGACACAATAACATTGAGAGCATGCGCTTATTCTCAAACATCCATTCAGCCATGTGGGTCTCATCGAGGCAAATTTAATTAGCCGAATGATGCCTTCTCACGGCATCCCTAAGTCAGCAGTCTCTTCCTTCACGTCTCTGCCTGTTCCTGTCCAGTTCTGGCATTCAGGTGTGGTGACTCTCTGGAAATTTTTAGGGGTTCTTATTATAACTCATACTAAATGAAATATAACACATAAACTTGGAAATGCAACATCTTTTTAACTTTTTAGTTACATTATTATGATTGTACTACAATCATATATTATGAATATATTACATATATTGATTATTGGTTTATGAAATTTTAATATGTTTTTAGCTATTAATTTTCAGGTTATTTGCTTCAGAAAAATTATATTTGGTTAAGAACACTAAGTTCTTATTTCACCCTGACTTCAGAAGCACATGATATTTGTGAAAGTCTCTCATTTTCTTCTTAGTCAGTCTTTACGGATCTTGTGCCTTTGTTCTCGCTGTAGCCACTTTATCTGAGCTTCCAGCTCCTCTCTTTCCTCTAAAACCAAAGTATGTACCAACAGAGGGACTTACGGGATATCCCAGGTAGTAGTCGCTTGACATCTAGATACCAAACACTTAGTATATAGTGAAGAATGACCAGAAGTTCTATTTAAATCATTGTCTTAGACAATCAAGGAGAGGAATAACCAGAAGTTATAGATAAATGATTGTTCTAGATGATCATGGAGTTTTCAAAGCATTTCCCTTGAAGAGCTATGCCCATGACAGCAGTGTATACAGAGAAAACTGTAGAGAGGACATAACTGGCCAACTTACCGATAAGAGAACCCTGGGGTCCTGCGGAGGAACAAAGACCCTGCCTGGCTTGGCCAGGTAAGTGGTAACAGATGCTGTCAGCTAACATTTGGTTAGCTGGACACGGTAAGTGGAGGGCATACCAAGAGTGCCAGTACATGGAGTCTTGACCCAGGACTTTTTAGGAGCCATAAAAGTGTCATGTGGCAGAAGACAGGGAGGAAAATAAAGCCCATGACAAAGAGTTGAGTGATTTTTCCCTGGAAGATATCACTCTCTAGATAGGGCACTGATGGTAGATCAAAGAAACAATTCCACCTAGTTGTAACTGAGTGAATCAGGGAGTTGTTGGGTCACTTATGGATGTATGATTGTGGAGTTGCTTACAGATGTCTAGGCATGCTAGTTCACCAAAAGTTCCATCACAGCATGGACAGCAGCTCCTGAGGCCTTCATCCTTGGAGCTCCCTGAACAACTTATAGGCAGTTTAGTCACTTGAAGGCCTCCTGTCCATAGCAGTTCTTACTGCTTACGTTTAAAATCTTGTGGAGAGTCCATATAAATCTTGTAATTTCAGGAACTTTCTGAAACTTCTGAGTTTTATTTCCTTTGGGAGCCTTGTAAATTTCATTTACTTTAAGAGTCTTAAACAGGCTTGTACCTCCCTCCAGCAAGGCATATTTTGATTTAGAGAACAACACCCTACCCTTCCTCTGAGTCTTGTATCTTTTTGTTCCTTTCTGGGCATCTTTGTCTGAGCCCTGGGTAGGAGGATTGGATGGTGTGAATGTCTGTTAGACTGCTCTATCACATTAATAGTCACTTAGTCTCAGGAGTTTGACCAGGTGTGTCTAACACAGCTCTCATAATATATAGGAGATCCCTTACATAAATAATTGAAGCTGGCAGCATAGTTAACTTTTGTACAAAGGCAAATGATTAGAAGGCAACTTGATGGACTAATCACGTCCATTTCATGAGCAATAGCAATTGCTTCTGCACTGAAGCCTATGACCTCCCAGGCCTGATTTCCAGTTCCAGATCTAAATGTCCTCCTGTGGGGCAGGCCTTCAGTCCAACTGGAAAGCAGCTGATCTCCATGGCAGCTGTGCCATGAGCCTACCAGCGGGCACACCTTGACTGGTATGTCGCTGCTGTAGCATGCAGTCCCATAACCAATCAGGACAGTCAGTGACAATTCTCCCTCAACATCTCATGTAACATTTTCCAACACTGTGAAAGCCAGTCAACGAGGAGAGAGTTTCCAGTTCAGCCACAATCTGATGTCCCTATGTCCTGAAGCTAAACCATGCAAGGGTCTTCAGCGACACCAATTTCTCATCTAGTTCTGGTGTGCAACCAGCAGCAGTGGGAATAGCTTTATGACTTAGGAGGCCTCATGGGTTTCCTTGGTTAAAAAAAAAATACAAGTTTGTAGCCCAATGCTAACACTAGGATTTTCAGCCAACAATCATGGTTCCTTGGAGTACTTTTTCCCAGCCACAGTGTCTTCATTTTAACTCCTTAATAGTTATCTTTCTTGTTCTTCAAGATGTTTTTACAAACCTGTAAGAAACTCAAAGATTAGCATTATGAAATGGTGACTTTTTACTTTTCTACCTCTCATACCTAGCCTAGACTGGGCATCAAGGACCATTTAAATGACCTCTGTGTCAGCAGCTACCTTCTTCATATTTGGGGGCTATTTTCTTCTTTTTCATTGATTTAGGATTCTGTGTGTTCTGCTTGGTAAAGTGGAATCTACCTAGAATCTCTGGGTCTGTTTTCTTGACAGATCTAAAGGTACAGTAAAGAGAAATGTCAGTCCAGAGTCAGTGAGCTCTCACTAGCTCAGGTCAGTTGTCTCTGTGGGTAAATCCATCATGGTCTTGACACCTTTGCTCATATTCTCGCTCCTCCTCTCTTGGACTGGTCTCTGGAAACTAGTCCCGTGCTTAGCTGTGGATCTCTGCATCTGCTTCCATCAGTTGCTGGATGAAGGTTCTATGATGACAATTAAGATAGTCATCCATCCTGATTACAGGGGAAGGCCAGTTAAGGCACCTTCTCCACTATTGCTTAGGATCTTAGCTGTGGTCATCCTTGTCGATTCCTGGGAATTTCTCTGGTGCCAGGTTTCACACTAGCCCCATAATGCCACCCACAATCAAGATATCTCTTTCCTTGCTCTCCCTCTCTGTTCTTCCCCCATCTGGACCATCTCATTCCCTCAAGTTCTCCACCCCCTCTTTTTCTGCCTCCCTTCTCCCTGCCCCCATGTCCCCAATTTTCTCAGGAGATCTTGTCTATTTCCCTTGTGAGAACCTGCATAGGACCAAACTAGGCCCTCTGAATGTGGGTGACAGATGTGTGGTTGGGGCAGTCCTTGTGACCACTGGCAGGATTTATCTTTAGTGCTTGAACTGGATTTTTGGAGCTCATTCTTTTTAGAGAGATACCTTGCTCCGTCTAAATATAGATATGGAAGGGCCTTGGTCCTGCCTCAAAGTGATATGTCAGACTTTGTTGACCCCCCATGGGAAGCCTTACCCTCTCTGAGGAGTGGATGGGGGTGGGGTGGAGGAAGGTGGGGGGAGTGGGAGGAGGGAAGGGAGTGGGACTGGGATAGGTATGTAAAATGAGAAAAGATTGTTTTAAAAATAAATTAATTAGTAAAAAAGAGAGAAATGTCATCTAGCTATTCTATTGTTTTTTATGTTTTGTTTTTTTTTTAAAATCATGGTTCTTTTCTTTATAAACCACTATATTTTCATACAATAATACCCTAAATTGCAAAATGCTTGAACCATCTGGTGCCATGAGGCAAGTATAAATGGTCTTTAGATGGTTTGCTATCTACATAGCAGATAAGTTAATACTCATAAATTCCATCAACTGAAAATGAGGGCTTTGCTCCAAAGTCAGAACCACATTTAAAGTTTGGTCAGGGTTGAAAGGCAAATCCTTTATGCAGTGGACGCCACACTAGCACTTGATCTTCAAAGCATCACTGCAACCAGATGAAAGGGTGCTGTGTAAATTTCAGCAGGGCTGGTCTTCGATTGCCTTTCTTGTTATATTCATAGAGTTTTAGAATATTCTGGGAGATAATAAAAGGATGTCTAGGCTGTGTTTGTTCTAATCCCTTCAGTTGGGCTCTGCAATGTCAAACTGGAAGAGGTTTGTTAGAAATTAGATAGTGCTGTGATCCCACTTTAAGCCAGATTAGAGCCAAGCTCTGTGTCTTTGGCTGATAGGTATTAGGCAGTGTGATGTGTGTCCGGATACTTTATCCCTCTTAAAATGGTAATTTTGCTCACAATATCGTAATTGTTGTGATTCTACTTCCTTTTCAAGTTTAATTCCATGGCAGTAAGAAAGCCTCCCTTTCTCTACCCTCTACTGTTTAGATGTTGGCCGTCTTCCATGTGGTTGGCGCTTGGTGTGGCTATCGCCTTTGAATTTCCTCTGAATTGTTGTATCCCCGAACAAAATACTGGGCATTCCTTACCTGCCTCCTAGTGAGAGAGTTGTGTGTACGCCAAGATGATGTAAAACAAAGCCAACCCTTACTTGGATATTTTCCAATTGGGGCTTACTAATTGAAAATACTTCTTTCTCTTTTGACTTTGTCCCTCTGGCCTCTTTCTAAAGTTTCCTGTATGCTACTTTCTCTCATTCTTCCTCCTTTGAACCAGTTTGAACAAATTTAATAGAAACTCATTTCCACTGAGAAGTAGCAGATGCCCTTGACTCATGAAGTGATAAGCTGTGGTCTAGCTTCTGTCGCACCACAGGACGCAAAGATTGCACCAACCTGAGCTGAATGCAAAGCTCACTGTGACCTTCCTGGTGTGACAGTGGTCATAGCACCTGACACTGTGGAGCCTCTGTGGTTCACCTGTTAGATTATAATGGCAGTAAGCATCACCCCACATAGTGGTTTTGAGAAGGAAGTTGGCAAATGGGATTCTGACAGGGTAATTGGCCTTATGATAGGCCAATTAGAAGGACAATAGTTTGATGTGTGTCCCACCTGCCAGCTTTCCTTGTAAGACTAAATTTATAGAATCATTTTGTTCTTTCTTCCCCACAACTCCTTCCTTATCTCTTCTTTGTAGTTTTTCACTTGTCTGACTTTTTATTACCACCTTTCCTGTATGTGTGCCATTTTCCCTGTATCTACTCTGAGTTAGAATAGCTCATGTAAGCACTGGATTTAATTTTTCAACATAGGACATAATGTACTGAATTTAAAAAAAATCACTCCTTATCATCAAAATAAAGAGAGAATAGGTTGTAACTCTATGAAAGACACTGGTCTAGCATGTAGGAGACCCTCAGTTTGCTCTCTAGAGCCTCATTAGGGGAATGGGAACAAAACAATGAGGAAGTAATTTTTATTTTATTATTAATATCAACAGTATAGATTCCATTGCCAAATTCATTCATTGATTTATTCAAAGACTAATGTCATTGAATTTCTGTTTTAAATTTTCAAACACATTAAACCAGTTTAGAGCCAGCATTCAAACATCCAAAGGCCATGTACCATGGGAAAAGACTCTAAAGTGTCTTGATTGTGGCTTTCTTCTACATTATTGGTCATAACTTATCCACAAAAATCAATGAGGACAATATCTTGATATACTGAGTTTAGCCAATCTGTTGTATTTTGAACTTGGCCTTGGTCTTGAAATTCATATTGACCATTACTGGGTTTCTTGGGAGCCTCTGTAACTTGTTTGAAATATTAAACAGAATCCCTGCTTATCTAAAAAGTCTTTTATGCAATAGTATAATAACACAGTTATAAGAATGAACCTCCAAAAAATCAGTACATTCATTTTTTGTGTTTGTGTACCTATGTACATGTGTGTGCCCACATGCCATTTCATATGTGTGGAGGTCAGAGGACAGTTTATAGGAGTTGGTTCTTTCCTTCCATGCGGATCTCAGGGATTGAATATATGTCATCAGGCTTAGAAACAAGTACTATTAATCAATGGTTCCTCTTGAAGACCCTAGAATATATTTTAAAGTTTGTTTTCTGCTTTTAATTTAGTGTTGACTTCTTTGATAAAATCTCAATTAACATGTAAATGATGTCGTGTATGATTCCAGCCCTGTGTTTGGGTTATAATCATTGCTGTAATGACAAGTCCTTCAATTTCCATCTAAGAGTGATGTCTGCGCCTCTCTGTGATACGGTGCCGGCAGTATGCATACTTCACAGAATCTGACATGTCGGTATGAATTCTGCAGACAGAGATCACACAGAGTTAGGCTAAGCCAGGGAATGTCTTCAAAGACACCGTGTTTCTTCTACTGTGCCTCTCCTGTTTTATAGAAGTGAAGTTATAAGCCCTTTCATCAGTCATGATCTTGGACGCATTATCATGGACTTTCTGAAGATTTCGTGTTCTCTCATAGGTGCACACATCCAGTTTCTGAATTTCTCAACTGAAGCCAACCATGACTACCTGGAGATCCAGAATGGCCCTTACCACAGCAGTCCGATGATGGGCCAGTTCAGCGGCCCTGACCTGCCTGCGTCGCTGCTGAGCACCACACATGAAACCCTCATCCGTTTCTATAGTGACCACTCACAGAACCGGCAAGGATTTAAACTCAGTTACCAAGGTAAGCAACACAACATACGACTGTATAGATGCTTCTTTTAATGCTATACTACTGCATTTAATCCTAACTCTCCCTGATTGGTTAGAGCCTTGTGCAGCCAAATTGATTCCCAGAGCATGTGGGTCTCTGATTTATGGGATGCTGACAGTCCTGGAGCATGGGGCTAAGAACACAGAGGAGAAGCTCAGCCGGGTGCAGACCTCATCCAGACACTGCCGTCAGCCCAATCTCCTTTCCTATCTCTGCCTTGTGATCATCATACCCCTCCAGTCGCAGAACCCTCTCTTCTGTCACTTGTCCCTTATAGCCTTGGTCATTTTAGGACATGAATTGGACCAGAAGAGTCAGCTGATATCAGAGGTAAGACAGGCAGCCGCAGTCACTTCTACATTATCTTAGATCAGCATCATCCCCTCTACCCTGTTTGAACCTTCTTACATCAGTGTCTTAGTCACTGTTCTATTGCTGCAAAAAAGACACCATGACAAAGGCAACTCTTATAAAAGACAGCATCTAATTGGAGTGGCTCATGGTTTCAGAGGTTTAGTCCATTATCGCTGTGGCACAAAGCATGGTGGCACACAGGTAGACATGGTGGCACACAGGCAGACGTGGTGGCACATGGGCAGACGTGGTGGCACACAATCTGACATGGTGGCACACAGGCAGACGTGGCGGCACACAGGCAGACGTGGTGGCACACAGGCAGACGTGGCGACACACGGGCAGACATGGTGCTGGAGAAATAACTGAGAGGTTAACATCCTAATCTGCAGGAAACAGGACAAGGGAGTATGCAGTTGGTTCTGGCATGAGCTTTGGAAATCTCAAAAGCCTGCCCCTGGTGACACACTTCCTACAACAAGGCCATGTCTACTCCACCAGGGCAACACCCCTGATCCTTATAATCCTTTCAAACAGTTCTACTCCCTAGCAGCTAAACATTCAAACACATGAGCCTATGGTTACATTCTTAGTCCCACCACCACAGTCAGTAAAGAGAAGCAGCTCAGAAGCAAAGCATTCTCCTCTCTCATGCATCCAAACACAAAGTCACCGAGAAAAGTTCCTATCACTTTACCCCAGAGCACCCTTGAACTGTCAGAAAAATAAAAGCTCAACATTTTTATTACATCTGAAATCTCTTTGTTGACCTTCTCCAAATATTGTCAAATCAAACGAGTTGGAATTGCCCATGGCTGACTTACTGGCTCCTCTTCTTTTTCAGGACAGTTCTCAGAAACGGGGCACTGACATTTTCTCACAGTGACAAGCTAGTATTTAAGGTTGACTCTCTGGTGCTGTTACTTAAATTCTCATCTAAAATGTAAAATGTTGGTATGAACTTCCAGAATTGGGGAAACAGAGAGAGATATCCTCTTCCCTCTCCTTTGGGGATTCATGTAGAGCTCTACACTGCACTACACAGAGGTATGTCTGTCACCCGACCATGGTGACCATCCTTAGAGTGAGGTGGGTTTCACCTAAGTCTCTCTGTGTGTAGAGGTCATTGGTGCTGCCCACATCAGGGCTCAGGTCTGCTGTTCCAGGGTGACCAAGTGTGGAGGCATGACTGGCTTTACTGATAGTCTACAGTCATTTGGGATGGAAATTTCAAGGGTCTAATCTTAGTTTGTTCTATGGCTGTTGAATAAGACTGGGTCCCTGAGCAACTACAGGATTAAGAACTGGCATGAATGGAGAAGTATCTTACTTAAGTCTCTTAGATTTAGGGTGGTTTTTATTACTGAGTGATAGCTAGGCTAAACCAACAGATATCCTGGTTCTGCTCAAAGTTAGGAACCAATTGCCTATTCATATGTTTAATAAACATTCTACCAGAAAGAACAGAAGAGTGAAGGCCACTGAAGATCGGCTCCATGCTCCAGGATAGCCTGGTATCTGGCTCATGCTGGTCCCCAGTCTACACATGAATTTTATATTATGCTAATGTTCCCTCCCCAGTGCTAAAGGACATGCGTTCTGCTCTCTGTGCTCTTTAGGGAGATTCAGGCACTATGGAAGTCTCTTCTTTATGTTGGGTCCTGTGTTCCTTACTGCTCATTAAATGAAATCTACTTCAGTTCCTACCCATTGCAAATAATGCAAACTGCTCTGTCTCTCCAACCCTCATCCATGGGTCTGGGCATGGATGCTGTGTGTCCCGTCTTAGCAATGTTTGGTTTCATAGTGTGTTTCTTTCTGGACTTTGGTTTTAAAAGTAGCAGTTTGTAGAGGAAGTTGGGATTCCCCGTTTGGGTTCTTCTTCTCAGTCAGTGATGATTAGAAATGGGAGTCTGAAGGAAGATCAGTGGTAATTGTCTTGGGGTTTAAAAGAGAAACAGCAGAGCAGGTAAACTGTAAGTAATGTCAGCTGCCGAGAAGCGGGAGAAGAGAGAGAAACCTGTGTTCCCTAAAATCAGCCACGTGGTGGAATGGGAGGAGCCCCAGAGAAACAGTGAGCACATGTGCAAACATACCTAGGCTTTGGAAAGAGTAGGAAATTTAAAAAAGAAACAGTTCATATTTTAAGTAACTCAGAAAAGCAGGCAAGCTTTGCATAAAAAGATACAAGTGGGTCCATCAGCAACATCACTAAAAAAAAGGGGTTACCCAGAAGAATTGGTTCATTATCTCATTAGAGGGATAACTATTCCTCCCGTCTTGTTGCCTGACTTCACATGAACCAGCCATCCTGAAGGGAGGTCTCCCCTCGCCAGTGATTGACGGACCCAGCTTGATTAACTCTTAGTTTGCTTCCATGGCTATCAGGGAAAACAGTGGAAAGTAATGTTTTAATCTGGGGAGCAGATCAGAATGGAACATCTCCACCCAGTGCCAGAAGGAGATTTCAATCTTTTGACCAGAATCCGATTCTAATACGCGTCACCGAAAGCCATTAGTGTCTTGACTGCCTTTCTCTGCCATACTCTCACATGTCGCCTCCTGCTAAGGGTGATCATGTAGAAGACACAAACCCAGACCTCCTTTCTAGCATCCCAGACTTCTTCCCAGGGCAGAGCCAAAGACTTTGATTTAAACGCTTCCCGAATCTCAGGCAAGAATTGGGGGAGTGAGTCCATGTTTAAGAGCACTGGCTGTTCTTGCCAAGGACCAAGTTTCAGTTCCAAGCACCCTAAAGTTCAGTTCTAAGGGACCAACAGCCTTCTTCTGGCCTCCTCAAGCACTGAACCCTTGTGATTCACCGACACACATGCAAGAAAAACACTCATACACATATAGTAAGAATGAATAACCCTCTTAAAATGTACCTTCTTTGTATTTATTGCAAGGAAGACCCATGTGCTAGAGCATATCCATGGAGGATAAGGATGGCTGCAGGGGCTGTTTTTCTCGTTCTCCTATGTATGCTTCAGATCTAGAGTTCAGGTCACAAGCCACAGCAGCAACAAGGGACCTTACATAATGAACAGTTTTGTCATGTCAGTGACTCTCCCACTTTGAGACAGGGTCTCAGTATATAGACCAAGATGGCTTTGAACTTGGAGAGATCTGCCTGCCTGTGACTTCTAAGTGATGGGATTAAAGTTGTGTGCCACCATGCCCAGTCCCATAAATATATATATTTCATTTATTTTACATACCAATGAGTTTCTCCTCCCTCCTCTCCTCCTGTCCTGTCCCCTTTCACATCAATCCCTCGCTCCTCAACCACTCCTCCTCCATCTCCATTAAGAAAGGGTCTAGTTCCTTTTTAAAAACAGATCTTATGATTACTCCTTACTTATTGGATTCTAAAAAGTGATTTGATCATCAGAATTTACGTAGAACGTAACCTTTTGCCATGAGTTTCCTCCCGCAAATTACAAAACAAAAGAGATGTGGGAACGTCCATCAAAAGAGAATCATCGAGAAGAATATAACCTCACATTTGAAGTTTTTCCATAAGGTGCTGATTAAAGGCTGACTGACCTCTTTTGCAGTTCTGTGCTGCTGGAAAGAAGCCTTCTGAAAACACAGCAGCTGTCCTTCCTAAAGGACAGGGTCACAGTACTGCAGATGAACGGCTCCCTTTCTGGGCCGATGGGCCCTTTAGTTTGGGCAGCATCAGTATGGAGTCTTTTAAGCTAGCGTCAATCCGCTTTAATTAATATCTGAGTCTATAAGGAAGTGGTTACATAGATGTGTCTCAAACCATTGGCCAACTCCAGCGGATGCAGCACTTTTGAGGTATCTCTCTTCTTGAGTCCCTTGATTGTGTATCCAACATTCCAGTTTCCTTGAAACTATGTATTTGAGACCTCAAATACAGAGTCTGGATCTAGTATTGCTTTCCAAACTACTTCATCTCATAGAATCTTACTGCTTGCTTGATTAGTTTTGATCACTCCCAGGTCTCTAATAAGTATCTTAATCCAAGCTTCAGGATTTGTAACCAAGTTAACCCTAGGTGAAGCCTACACAGGAACCACCTAGACAAGGGGGTCACATATTGTTATAGTTTATGATTTAGTCATTGCCAACGTCAGTGTCTACAGGTAGATGTCAGCAGTTCAAGAGGTACCCATGGGTCGGCTTTCCCTTCTTCTTGCATATCAAAATTTGGAAATGTCTCCCTGGATAAGATCCTGGGGTTCAGTGACGGCTCTCCACTTTTTAGCAGAGGCAGGCCAGTAGGCAGGCTCTGACTCCCGAACCTGTACTCAGTGGTATCACCTGCCTGGCCTTCTGGACTCTGGACCTGCGAACACTCTTGAAGGACCACCATCCAGGCACCTAGTTGGCTGAGCAAATATTTTATCCACTTGACACTTGGTTTTTAAATATTCACATTGAAGATGTCACTAAAAAGCATAATTTATTATAATTCATTCTTTATAACTAGGAAGCAGGAAAATTAGTGGTCCAATGAAGAATGACAGCAGGAACTTGAGACATGCTCATTTCTCATAGACTGTCATATTTAACAGGGATGTTGATGCGATGGTTTACCAGTGTTTGTCATTGTGTAGAAACTGGCAAACAGACACTGACATTGA